AGTGGTAAGCTGAGGAACACCAAGAAGGCTGAGGTAGTCAGGGTGGTAAACCTACGGCCCTTCAGGTTTTATCTCTCAAACTCCCATAAGCCCCAGCCAGCATATCCAATGGCCAGAATCTCAGGAGCTGTTGTTGTAGGCATCCATTTGTCTCAAGAGACAATAGAGTGCACCTCCAGTGGTGAAGTCAAATCGTTGTGTTTGCAGCACCAAAGTTACCTCTCTGGGGCACAAGCATGGACATTGTGCATGGAGGGCCTGGGCTCCCCAGAAGACAAAACCTTGGCCTCACGGAGGAGGTTGACAGGAAAGCAGAACAATACCTTTGGCACTGACTTGGCTGCAGGAATTCAAGGTGCCATCTAAGCATCTTAAGGACTCCACTTCAGATTTGTGTAGGGTTTACTTCTTAGACTTTTCTACTCTCTAAGATACCCCACAAGGCTGCAGAGGTTTAGGATCAGAGTTTTCCTCTGCCTGGATGGGCTCCCTTCCCCATGGTAGGGACCAAAGGTGGACTAACTATCCCAGAAGGAGCACAATGTGCCTCCACCAGAGGTACTAGCCCTTCCCTAATACCCCATACAACCCAATATTACAATGTTAGTGTAAACTGGTATAAATGGCACATGCACAGCACAGTCCTAGACTACACATGGCTGTTGGCAAGTCCCATCTGCCCATCACTTTCATCTGCAGCATGTGCAGAAACTGCCTTCTTGACCATTGAACCCACCATTGCTCTCATCAGCTCAATCCACCAGAGCCTGCTTTCACATGCGGGGGGGGGGGGGGGAGTTCCTAACTCACATAAGGTTTGAGATCCATTCACCTGGTTTAGCCAGCCAGCTGAAGTTGTTTCCCAGGGTGTGGCCTCTGTCATATTCTGACAGCTTCTAGGAACCACAGGTGTTTCAGTTAAACAATATTTGGGGAGTTACAAGTGTCCACCCCTGACTTAAAACCTCTAGTGCTGCCTGGAAGCTGCTGGTGCAACAGTCTTCCTAGACCTGCTCCTAGTCTAGCAAACCTCCTGGACAGCTCCCTTATTGCTCAGTACTAGCCCCTGACGGAGCCTGCTGGACAGCTCCCCTGCCTTGCCCAGAAAGCCATACAGTTAAATTTATGGATTTCTCATTGTGCTTTGGCACTGTCTCCTAGCACACAGTTTTGGAACCTACCAGAAGCCCTCCTGGTCTTTTGAACTACAACTCCCATCAGCTCCCAGTCAAGGTTGATGGGAGTTGTATACCAAAACATCCAGAGGGCACCAGGTTGGGGAAATGCTGTTTTATGCCTAGTGCGCCTGAATCTTTACATATACTTTGACTGGTACCCCAGGAAGGAATGCATCGCAGGCTTATTTATTGAGCTAACAAAGTCAGGACAATTTATGCAAGGGAGATTTCTTTACATCTTATCACAAATTTTGTTTTCCCCATTTGAGCAGAAGTCCCCAATAGGATAATTTCTCCTCATGATGATAATTTTGTTACATGCTTTTCATTAATCCAGTTATAACTCCCATAATATTATTTGGCAGCTTATTGAAGCCTTGAGGAACCATGGGGGTTCATATGCGCATTGTCGGGTTATGTTTTAAAATAATAATAAAATAAAATGAGTCCAATTAAAAATTCTTTTAGTACTGTATGATATAAGAAATTCCCCAAAGAAAGAGATGAAGCATCACCATTCTGTCCACATCATTGCTTCTCTTTGAGAGACAGTGAGGAAAAAATATGCAAATGTTGATATCACATAAAAGTCTATCTATCTGACTACCTTATTTCCCTGAGATATTTGGCTAGTTGAAGAATTGCGGTGGGGTTTTTTTTTGGGGGGGGGTTGATAGGGGTAGGACACATTTCTTTATGACTTAGGGGGGAATCTTTCTGTAGAACAGTTTTAACTCCCTCAAGCTTTTGCAAATATATTCAAATTATCATGGGTGGGAGGAGAGATAATTCACTGAAGATAAATAGCTGGAAAACTATAATATTTACCCTGACATGTTAGGAAATAGTCTAGTGGTGTGTGCTGATTTTGGTTTTTGGGAGGGTGTTATTTGTAGGCTGTGCACAGACCCCCCTGATCCACCCTCTGATTTGTGACCCCCAAATGGGGCCAGTTCACCCTCTGCCACCCCAGAGACCACCCACCTAATTGTGAATACTTTCCCCAAACAATGGGGGTAGCTAAGGGTTTTTTTTAAGGGGTTCAAAACATATGGTTAAAATAGAGTTTTTAAAGGGTCTGGGTTTATTGGGATCATACAGGGTCAGATCCTGGGGGAATGCCACTTACATTCCAACCTGCACCTCACAGGATTAATCTCTCCACTCAACAGCTGCTGAGTGGAGTCATTGATCCTGCAAGGAAGCAGGAAGGAAGTAGAGTTGCAATGTTGGGCCTACCTTCTCCTGGGAAGACACGGCTACCAGTCAGGTAGGTCTCTGCTTTTTTGTGGGGTTTCCCCATCCAGCCTGCCTCTCCTTCCTGCCTGATGCCCCATCCCTTGATAGCCATGGATTTTTCTGGACAGTCCAACCCAACTCACAACTTACACACCTTTTCTCTGAACGAAAAAGCCCTAAATGTTATGGCCTTTCTTCAAATGGGAATTGTTCCATTCCCTTCTGCAGCCTCTTTTCTGAACCATATCCAGCTCTACCATATCTAGTGAGAGAGCCAGAATTATACTCAGTATTCCAAGTGTGGTATCACCCTAGATTTGTATATTGATGTTACAGTGTGGACAGTTCTGTTTTGGATGCTCAGGATAAAACTGCATTTGAATCAAGGAAATAGCAAATCCCTCGTTTAAATGTACACATATATTCAAGGCATCCCTTGCTCATTTGTAAGTTTTTGCCACTCTGGCAATTTATCCATACTTGAAGGCTCAGCTACACATGCTTCACTGAAGGCATGAATTATTGCAGAGTGTGAACAAGGCAGAACATGGTAGTAATAAGCAAAGGAGCCCATGTTTTTCTTAATGGCTATATGTTTCCATTATTAACCGACACTGTGTGACGTGATGGAAAGCCTTGCCTCCCACCCTCTCCCCCTCCACCTTTGCATCTGTCACATCACAATAATTGTGAAACAATCCATTCTGATAACACCATTGAGACTAATTGCCCTGGGACCTGCACAAGCCATTTTCAGATGTGTAGCAATCATGGAGTTATGATTATTATGAGACATGGATGTAATGAGTGGGTCCCTAGTGGAAAATGTAAATCAAGGTGGCATGAGGTCACCGTGCCCATCACAACTTTTTCAGCCTGCCTGCTTTCCTGACAAGGGAAATTTATGCAAATTGATTACCCTCAGAAGCTCCATTCATTATGGTTTTGAGTTTGTTCTTTGGCTTTGTTTATGAATGGCGTTGTCTTTCTTTCACTCTCCCCAGCAGTGCTTTGGAATGGGAAATGATAGTGATAATATCATTGATTGGATCAAATTTATATCCTGCCCTTCCTCCTGAATGAGCCTAGGGTGGCAAACAGATACAGAATGTAAAAGCAAAAACATTCTAAAACTGGCCAAAACATCCTAAAGACAATTACAATAATAATAATTTTAAAAACACACCATTGAAAAGCAGTTTCAGTTAAAAACATCCTTGCATCATCTGATCTCGGGATTGCCAGGGACAGTATTCCACCACCACCAAAGGCTCAGGTGAACAGGAATGTTTTCAAATTCCTCCTGAAAGTTACTAAATGATGGAGACAGGTGCACCTCACTAGGGAGGGCATCCCACATCTGGGGAACCACCACTGAAAAGGTCCTGTTATGAGTCAGCACCTGCCAATCATAGGGTTTGAGGCAGCTGGTACTGGGGATGATACTCTTTTAAATGCTAGGGTCCCACTAACAAGAACACTATTAAAACTGACAGCAACTAAGGGCCTTGTGCTAATGCTGGAGCCAGAGTCAATGCGTTGCATATGAAGCAACTGCAATATCTTCCTTGTATAAAATAGACCTTGTACAGAAGAGCATGCCATTGAACTCCATGGTGAGACCACTAGTCTATCTAGCCCAGAGATTGTCTATAAGAACTGGCAGAAACACTCCAAGGTTTCAGATGAGGATATTCCATGCCCAAGATGGAAATGCTGAGGATTGAACGTACCACCTTCTGCAGGAGAAGCATATACTCTGCCACTGAGCTATGGCCCAGCAGATGGCAATGCTAAAGCGGCCCATCTAGCATGTGTTATCTGTACTTAATGGCAGCAGCTCTCCATTGATCAAACAGGGGAAATTTTCCAACCCTACCTAGAGATGTTAGGGATTGAACCTTGACCTTCTGCATGCAAACAGTGTATGCTAAAATGGCACTGTTGTCCCTGTCCCTTTCCTTAAAAATGGGTTTTAAGCTAGGAGTAGAGCAGTGTTTTCCATGCTTGGGTCTCCAGCTGTTTTTGGACTACAACTCCCATCATCCCTAGCTAGCAGGACCAGTGGTCAGGGACTATGGGAAAAGTAGTCCAAAACCAGCTGGAAACACTGGAATAGAGGTACCTATCTTATACCAGATTAGACTATTTGGCCCCAATATTGTCTGTTCTGACTAGCTGTGGTTCTGCAGGGTTTCAAGCAGAGAAGGATCCTTCCCATCAATGTCTACCAGATGCTGTTAATAGGAGATGCCAGACACTGAGGATGGGGCCTTCTGTTGAGTAGCCAACATTGCACATTCCAGATGTTGTGCACTCCAACTCCCAGCAACCCCAACCAACATAGCCAATGGTCACTGAACATGGAATCTGTAGGTCAATAACCTCTGGAGGACACCATGTTATCTGTCCCAATTCTGAATAAAGCATGAACTCTACACTGGTACTATCATTCCTCCCATGTTAATTAATCTGTAATAACTATCAGCCCCCTGAATGCTTACTATTAACAGCTATGCTTAGTAATATTAATTAAGTACACAGAGTTATTTGTGTACAGAGTAATTAAGTACACAGAGATTTGCAACTTAGTGGTAGAGCATATGCTTTTCATGCAGAAAGTCCTAGGTTCAACCCCTAGCATCTCCAGGTAGGGCATGGTGAATTTTTCACCTGAAATATTCAAGAGCCACCACCAGTCAATGTGGACAATGCTGAGCTAGAACAACCAATTGTCTGATGTGGTACAACCCTATGTTCCACAAGAGCACCCTACTCTCCTGTGGTTTCCGGCATGGAGGCAGAACACAGCCGTAGATAGCCATACCTTCAATGAGTTTGTCTAATCCTCTTTTAAAGCCAGCATGGGGAGCAAGGTGGCTCCTGATCAGACTTCACTGTGTGCCTTCAGAACCGAGGATTTTGCATTTCTGTAACTTCAGAGTTACAGAACTTCAAAACACTCCACAAGCACAAGGGTGGTATCCAGTGCTAGACCCACTCAGAGTAGACTCATTGATGCTAATGGCCATGACTAACTTAGGTTCATTCATTTCAAAGGGTCTACTCTGGGCAGAACTTAGTTGGATACAACTCATTTTCTTGTAGCCTGCACCACAATCCTAGCAGTATTGCCCTCATATGGCAGCTGGGGTGGGGGGTTCAAAGTGACTTGAGAACAGTCACATAGTGGGCCTTATTGCAGAGGCAAAATTACCAGTGCTGTTAGTCACTATGCCAGTACCTGTAAACCAGCAAGTTCCTTCTTTGTTTCAAAACACGGGAAGCAGGAACACTATGAGAACTAGAACATGCTGCAGTGTCAGTGCAACTACAAAAATGCTTTATTTGGAATAACTTGCATAAGGAGTAGTGAACCTGTAGCACTCTAAGATGTTGCTGGACTACAACTCCCCTTGTCCCTGACCATTGGCCATCCTACCTGAGGTTGATGGGAGATGTAGTCCGATAACTTATGCAGGGAAACAGGTTTCCGATGTCTGGCTTTCATGAAAGGCTTTGGGGGCAAAAACACACCCAAAATGCCTCAGCTGGAATGAATGCGAGCCATGCATAGACACTTGTGAGCAGCTGCGCACATTCAATGCAATGGCAATTGTGCAAGGAAAAGGTGAGAATGCCTTTTTGTTCTCTTTCACAAAGGCAGCAGAACAGTCTGCAAATCCAGATCTGGCTGATAAAATAAGGTCATGGTTTGCTGCTGCTTCTACAAGTAGTGATAGCAACACTGTAACTGATGACTTTTCAGTGCATTCAGCACGCAAACACAACACATTGCATCCTCAGAAAGTGTAATAGTTCACCTGCTGGGACTAATTTTTTCAAAGAAGCAGACGCAGTAAGTAACATTGCCTTTTAGCCAAGCAAATTTATGGCTTTGGATTTTCAGAGATTTTTTTATAGACTAACATGCTTCCAGCACCGCTCAAGAGATGGGGCTACTGGGAGTTACAAGCAAGTGGCTGCATGAGCATGTCTGCATGATTTAGGAACAGTGTCTATTTCCACATCAAGCTGCACTTCCCTGCCTGACCCACCTCTACCCCCACCTATCAAGCTTTAGAATTCATGACACCTCCCTGTAGGCTAAAAGGGTTGGCTTGTGAATGGATCACATTTTTCAATCAACCCACATGGATCATTTCTGGAAGGAAGTGCATGCTTTAGGGATACCCAAGGCATTGACTATCAGCCCCTCTGCCCATGCTTCCATGTCATAGCACAAACTGCTCTTGCATGCCTCCCCTTTCAAAATTATTTACTGAATGAGTGAGACTTGCAACAAAACGTAACAGTGTGCTCCTGCTTAAAGTGGTCACCTGTCAGTCATGCCCTTTCCTAAGCTACTCCATTTCCACTCCTCCAGTTTTCTATTCCCCTGCCACACACGACAGGCAGCATTTCATATCCACTCAGCATGCTTAGTCGTCACCACTCCGGGTTTGTGTTTTGGTTGGGGTATTTATGCTCCACCACCTTTTTTGTACTCCTACAAACCTTGGAGTTTCCCCAAGTTTCTTGATAGTTCCTTATTGCGCATGGAAGATGAGGTTTTGGCTAAAGCACTAAGGTTGCATGCTGAAAAGCCAGTGGAAATTCTTCTGAAGATCTTAAATATCCACTTGGTCTGTACGGGTTCAGAAAGCAGGCTGCGGAGCTCTGCAGGACTCTAATTGACTTTAATTGCTGTGCAGGGAAGTGATTTTCCCTTTTCCACTTTTAAACTTATCAATTCACTGAGAACTTATCAGCACTTTCTTATCTATGTTATAAGAAACACTCTGGGCAAGCACTGTGAGAAGCATCCTGGGCAGGCCGTTAGCTGCTAGCTGTTAATTGCCAGCTCCCTTTTACACTTTGTTTTTTGACTTCCTGGCAGTCATTACACAGAGAAGCTTTTCGACAGAATAAACTGCACACTTTTTTCCTTTCCTTTCCTGCTAAGGAATCCTCTCTTTGTTTACTCATCACCGCATTATTATGCCTGCTTGTAAATGCTACAGGGATACAGAAGAGGCAGTCCTTTCACCAGCTCTCAAACAATTAAAAATGGATTTAATAAATCTGTTTTTAGTTTCAACAACAAAAAAACGGTTTTCTCCTCTTGAAGTTGATTGTGAATGTGAGGAGAATACTTGGAGTGGGGGTGTAGAACTAGATTCAGCGATGGGGCAAGCTGACTCTGAGCTTCAAATAGAGGAAGAAATAACAAGTAGGGAAAGCACCCAATTAACTTTAATTGCAAGAATGGTTGAACACATCTTCCAACAAATTTGAGGTATCGCCTCCCAAATAACTCATTTATCCCAAGAGGTCCATAGATTATCTGTAAATAATAAGCAGGTACCAATAGACCACCAAAGCACCGAAGTGAAATGGCGTCAACAAGAGCAGACCCCTAAGCTTGATGCAGAATGTGTAGAGGTCCTTAAAATTAACTGTTCTCATCTAATCTTTCAACCAAAAAAGATCTGCATGACAATCTGTCGAAGTTCAGATCAAGCTCCTAACTGGAAAGGCGCCCAGCGTGCCAAACGACATCTATCAGACTTACTTGGAATTGGACTTACAGAGATCAATCTAGTTGGGACTGAATCCCTGAATACCACAAACCAATTCCAAAAAATCATGTTAACTTTTTCCTCTACCAGACTCCCCTTACTGATCCACAAATTGAAACCCAGATTGTCAAGCAAAGGAGTTTTTCCAACCCGGATATTTCACAATTCTATTGTCGTGCCCTTATGCAAGATGAGGACTAGGGCTACAGAGCGACCCATAAAACCTAAGCCTGGATCTCCAATGTTAGTAATGACATCGCAAACAAACTTGATAAGCCGGGAGGAAACAGACATGCCCAAGTTGAATCCACAGAATCATGCTCAGCATCAGTATTATCCCTTGGAAAATGATTTCCTCAACTCCTTTAGGAACCTCTCTCAGGAAAAGCAACAAACAGTTATCAAGAGGCTTGACCTTATGAGCCAGACATTGAAAGAGAACAAAGAATCAGAGGTAGAGACTGACAACAGACCCAGTGTCCATAACTGTTTGATATCTACGGAACCACTGGAGTTCTGGACAAAGATGAGACATTTAGATGAGGAGGAATTAGGAACTACGCTTAAGGAATCTCCGCTGGTGAGTAATTTTCAAAGTAAAGATCCAGTGAACACAAATGTGAGCACTTTATGCCCAATGACTGAAATTATTGAACATCTGAATCACACTACTAATATAAATGATACCCTGTTGCCTCAAAAATTGGCAAACTCTAAAAGCACAATGACCAGCAATTTACTAAGAGGAAATCACTATAAAACAATCAAACTTCTATCATGGAATGTAACAGGGTGGCTGAACAAGATTCAAGACAGCAATTTCTGTTCCTATTTACAAACACATGATATCATTTTCCTGGAAGAAACCTGGGCAAAAGAAGGTACTATGGTTGAATTACAGGGTCTTATAAGTTACACCCAGCCAGCACTTAAAACTGCAAAGCACGGAAGGCCTAGCGGGGGGCTGGGGGGGCTGGTGTCAACATCTGTTAATGTAACAATTCAACTGTGCCCCTCGCTGACCACCCCTAATTTTTTAGTGTTATCCCTCTCTGATTTCTCTCTGAGAAATACTGTATTTGCGTGTATATTCCTCCAGTAAAGTCCTGTGGGGAATCCTCCACTAGGCCTTCCGTTCTTTGCAGTTTTAAGTGCTGGCTGGGTGTAACTTATTGGGAAAGACTTGACCAACTACTCGAAAGTATAGACTCTTTGTCGCCCAACCCTCGGTTTGTCTTGGGGGGCGACTTCAATGCCCAGATTGGCCTTGTCTCCCCACAAAATACAATATTAGCTGGACTAAACTTGAAGGACGAACCCGAAATCTGCCAGAGGGCAGCAATGGACACCACCTCTAACTACGCTGGGAAATACCTCTGTGAACTTATAATTAAGCACAATCTTTTGTTATGTAATGGGCATGGACAAGGGGATCAGGAGGAGTATTTTACTTTTATTTCCCCCATAGATTATATCCTAACATCTAATAATGTTCCAGTTAATCGAGACACCCTTAGGATAATCCCCAGAGATGAAAGTGACCACTTTCCACTTGAGTTATCTCTTGCACCATTTGTTTCTCCTGCTTTCCCTAAAATATTGGATGAAACGGAATATCTGATACTTGGAAATAGAAGGTTAAAATGGAATGCACAGGTCCGGGAAAAAATGACCCAGATCCTGGATTCTCATGAGTTTGCTTTATTAAAGGGGGAAATGTTGTTAGAAACAGGAAATGTAATCGGACTCTATGAGAATATAATTAACCGAATGCGCCCACTGATGACCACAACCAGTGTGATCAAAAATAAAAAGTTCAAAAGACAGACATGGTTCGATAAGGAATGTCAGAATAGTAAAAAGTCTATCTAGGGAACTTAGAAAATTGAAGTTAAAGCACAATAAGCACAATCTTGCTCTACAAGCTGAGGTAGCTCAATTACGATATAGTTATAAACTATTACTTAAAAGTAAGAAACAAATATATTATGAGCAACAGTGGAAAGCCCTGGGAGATGCAGCACTTCAAAAGGACTCACGGAAATTTTGGTATCTGGTTGCCCAAGG